GCTCATAAGAAGATCTGAAACACGCATTAAGAAAAATGCAAGAAGCTTGTGAATAACAAACACTCTTGAAACTGTGTGAAGAATGTGTCTAAATTGGAGTTTATTCAGTGGATGGTGCTATGTTGTACATTTGTCTTTTTTTTCAGTGATGGCAAAAGAAAAAGGGGTGTGATGAGAAGAAAGAGAACCTCTGAGGACAAACGTACGATTTGTTTCTTTTCTTCACCCCAGACTAGCATAGGAAAGGAGTGCCACAATGAAGAAAACAACACACTGAACGAACTACAACACCTCGGTCTCTGTACAGGATACTATTTGAACTAATATAAAAGCGTAACATTTTAAAATAGACATTTAAAAACTGGACGTGCTGGACTCGTCAGTTTGACGCGGGGCAGTATGCGTTACGCCACCGGCAGTGTTGATGCACAATATAAAATCCTCAAATTTCCACTTTGATTTTCTAGAATTGAATTACCGCTCCAAAATGGTCAGTCGTGACCTTAAAAGTCAATCCGAGGCATTTGAATGTCTCAATGAATGACTGAGATTAATTTTCATTTGCTGTAGAATCCGCCTGATCGCTTTCAGATTCACGCTCGGCACAATTAATTACCATAATTGCTAATTAGCTCCATTCCTGGCTAATTGATTCCAATTGATCCAAAACCACTTCAGGTTGTGTGTGGATGCTCGTTTTGAAGGCTTTGCAGATCTGCTATAGACCTCATGGGTAAGAACATACTGCCCCCTCTAGTAGAAAAGTAGAAATATACTGAAAATGAGCAAAGTTATCCCTGCAAATCCCATTTAAAAACTGGCGGGAGCTGGTGTTGGGATTCCGGATCTAATACAAAAACATCAAAGCTGCATTTAAGAGAGCAGGGCATCTAAAATGCAAAGTACACACACAAACGAGAAACAAAGCTGATGAAAATAAATAGAAATATCATAGAGTGTAGTTTCACTACAATACCCCACACCATCTTCATCAGACCCCCAATCCATGATGACACAGGACGACGTTACCAACGAAACAAAAGAGAAATTATACAAGCCTTCAACAAATATGCAAAGTAACTTTAAAACACAAGAGAACATCTGAAATTGCTCCAGCATTCTGAATGGAAATAACACATTCTTTTTACACAGAGAACAAAATAATACTTTCACATTTAAGAGGAACATAAAATATGGGACTTTACAACAGGATGGACTTCTGGACTAAGAACCGCTCACCCAAAAATGAAAATTATGTAATTTACTCTCAATTTACTCATGTTTTTCCAAACCTTTCTTTCTTCTGAGGAATTCAGATGTTTAGCAGAATGTTCAAGCTTCTCTTTCCATACAATGAAAGCAAAAAGGGTTCCAAAAGATCCAAAAATGAGCACTATAAAAGTGTCAAAAAAGCAGTCGTGTACCATAATCAAAGTCCTAGGACATCATATGAAGGTTTTAAGGATCAATTGCCATTTAATCACTGAAATCTTCCCCTGCAATGCTCAAATCTTATTTGCATGTTCAAACATTATCTATGTTAAACCTGTCAAATTTGAATGCATGTGAACAGAAATTAAATTATGGAATTATAGAACTCAAAGGAATGGTTCATGAAAAATTCTATCATCAATTTATCAATTTTGTATGACTTTCACTTGTGTGGAACGCAAAAGAAGATATTTTGAAGAATGTTGGTAATCAAACAGTTTTGGTGATTTTTGATTACCAAAAATCCTCAAAATATTTTTCAAAAAGGTAAGTCATACAGGTTTGGAACGGCATTGAGTAAATGATGACAGAATTTTCTTTTTTTGGGTGAACTATCCCTAAATTTAGGTCTTCCACTTTCTTGAAAAAGAATGGAAAAGAGCAGTGTGAACATTCTGCTAAACTTCTCATTTTTTGTTTCATGGAGAAAAGAAAATCTTAAAATATAGCTTTTGCATCACTAAATGACGAATTTGAATTTTGGGTGGGTGAACATCCCCTTTAAGTGTTTCAGATTATGACAGATAATCAACCAATTGCAAACAAATATTAAATAAATAAATAAAAAATCAACAACAAAATGACACTTTAGAAAATTCCTGCCGCCCAGTTGTTATAATGTGAACTATCCCTTTGGAATCCACCCTAAAAATACCGTATGAATTTCAGACAAAAAGTTGTAGTTTTAGAAAAGGATTTTGTAACATGGTTCAGTCCGTCATGGAATGTCTTTGACGTGGTGGAGGTCAGGCAGGTTTTTTGAAAAAAGTCTGCCCGAGGTGTTGAGAAGTGGATGAGAACTGGTCTTTGAATTCTGCTTGTGGACGCTGCACAGGAGTAGCTGCTGGATGCTCAGTTTGCAGTATGAGTCGCTTGAGATCTGACAGATGTTTAGGGTCTGGAAAGTGGTGTCTCAGACGGCAATGACTGGGTGGGACATGTGCTGCTACAGGAAGTGTTTGTCCGTTAGGGGAACTCGTGGGTTGATGGGAAGGGGCTGGTTGTGAGGGATCTTGCGTTGTTTTTTCACATTGATAAACCCGACTGGTCTCGGTTTTTTTCTCCCTGCATTGATGTGAGATCAAAGTCTAATCAACAATCATGCGAGACAAACAAAACAGGACAGCATTTCTGGTAAAGCAAAAAGTAAACAATCCCACGGGTCACAGAGTCAGTGATGACAACCGGGATGGCCTGCGGCATGCAGACCTGAACGACATGGAAATAATGGTGGATGAGTGAAAGAAAGAGAAGTAAACATTGACGGGGCGAATGGGGTGAACTGGGTCTCTGCACGCACAACACAGGGCACTGTGGGAACAAACTAGCAGGGCAGCATTACCCATTATCCTCTAGGAGCTCTGTGTCTGTATACATACCATCCTGACAGCTGGTTAAACAGCACCAGACGCCCAGTGCCTCACACAAACACACTAAAAGGCCTAACGGACTTGTTTTTCATTTTTATTACATATATTTCTGTAAGCCAAGTTCTATACAGTCAAAACAACAGATCAAAAGCAATCTAAACTCCAAACATTCTGTTGATTCTTTTATTTATTTTTTTATTTTTTTAAAATGTTTTGAAAATGTTGGGGTCGGATAAATGATTCTGGAAACGAAGTGTTGGTCTTTATCAGTGTTGTTTTTGTTAACTAAAAGTTAAACTATTTGGTTAATTTAAAAAAAAAAAAAAAAAAAAAATTTATTTTGAACTAAAAAAAACTTAGCAATAAAAATAAATGTTAAAGTACTAAAATTACTGAAAAGAAATCTAAAAATAGAAATAAATATATATTAAAATAAATATTTAAACGTCAAAAAGTAATAAAAATGACAAAAGCACATAACAAAATTGCTAAAAAAGAAAACTGAAAATATTAAATAAAGGCTAATACAAATTTTTTGTGAATGCTATAATAGTGTATTTAAAAAATATACTAAAATAGCATAATAGCATACTAAATAGCATACTAAAATAGTTCTTCTTCATGGCTCATAAAATTAGTAGTAATTTAGTAAAATAAATGTATTCCAATTTTTATAGGTGGCATTAACAACACTGAATAATAATATCATCTAATTAATATGAGGTATCATCTAATATCTAATAAATTTGAATATTAAATGAAATTCTGCATCTTCTTTGCCACCTCAATTGAAATTCTGGAGCTGAACTGGGATGTCACCGACCTGCTACAAGCATGTATAACGGCTGTAAATATGGCAGTATTAGAGTGCTTTCTAAGGGACTGAGGTTTTTATTGGAGCACAGTTAATGGTGACAGTAAATCATACAGTTTAAGTGTCTGTGTCTAATTCTCTGAGGTTCTCCTTTAGGACTTCTTTCTGTTGGTATGAGGCGTGCTACGGAGGGTTTCTATCGTTACCATCTTATTAAGGGATCTTGCTTTATTTGTAATGGTAAGCCTGCAGTATTCCTCAATTTTGAAATTGAGGAATTTTTAAAAAGTCAAATGAAAAAATGTTTTAAAGACAAAATCTCAGAAATGCTGTAATGGGTTTAATGTATCATGGGAGATGGTGTGGCTGTATGGCCCATGGGAGAAGAGATTTAAACATATGCCATAAACACATCAAATTCTAGTGCTATTAGAGAGCTACACTACAAGAGCCGCAGAGAGAGAGAAGACGCTATCACTGATATAATAATGTATTTGTGCAGCAGCAATGCTGGTAGAGGTGCAATAGTGAAAGGGAAGGCAGAGTATGGGATGAAATCATAGATCTGAAATGTATATCCTAAAACAGAGGTCAGCAATCTTTTTGACATGAAATCATCTTGAAGTCACTTTGACACCCTCACAATTAAATACATTATCCATTTCTATGTGGAAAATAAAGTGAAATTCACTAAAATGAATTTCTACACATTTTTCAAAAAAATGATTTGAAAGAAGCATGCCTAAAGTTGTTTTTGCACTTTAAATAAAGCAAGAAATCCAGAACTGTAGTTTTTTTTTTCAGCCATATGAATAAAATATGCTCTAATTATACTGCAGAGGATATACGTAATCATGTGCATGTCTGCAGCGGATCTTATTTTGTAGATTTGCTGCAGTCACTTATCATTTTATCATTGAATATTCACAGCAGTCGTCTGTTAGCAGCTTTAACTCAAAATGAAAAATCAGTTGTTTTCCCACCTTATTTAAAGGGTAAAAAATAACACAATAATCATAATCATATTTTTTCAGGTTTTCGTCTTTTAGCAAACTGCTCCTTCCAGCTCAGAATGCAGCACTTTCCTCTCACTCCTTTCATTTTTCCAGTGTTTGGCTTCTCATATTGATCATAACTGAATAAAACATGCTGAGTGGCGACTAGAAAGCATTATCGCGAGATGTTTTTTTTTTTGGCATGCAGATCACTTCAGTATTTCTAAAATTTAAAAAAATGCATGTATATAATATTAATCTCTCTAGCTGTAATCATTCATGTGCCGAAGCGGGTCTCATATTCAGTCAGGTTGTGCGGGAGGAAACTAACCTGTGTCTCACGCAGGAGTTACTCAGGGGTGATCTCTGTTTCCTGATGCACCACCACTTTAGTCACAGACATGTCAGGGTGCTGCTCCTTCGCCTCCTTTATAGCCTGAGCAAGAGCCTGGAGAGCAGAGAGGACAGTATTTAAACCAGACCACTAAACGTATTTCTGTCATGACAACTCTCGGAGGGATTGGCATGGTAATGTACATGACAATGTTAATGTATTTGGTCTTGGCGGAATAGATCTGCTACGCTGCTGCAGTACCGAGTACCGAGTACAAGTACCGAGACTTGCTACTGCCAATACATCTACAACATGCTGCTGTGAGCATGTAAGAAATATTGCTGCTGCAAATATAACATACATGAAATAACCATGTGAACCGCATGTATTAATAATATATTAAAAAAATAAAAAATAAAAGTGACGTGACGTGTGGCAAAGTATGGTGACCCATACTTGGAATTAGTGCTCTGCATTTAACCCATTCAAGTGCG